TTAGGCTGAACTGACGAACAGAACCAGAAAAGCATCTAAGAATTTTGGGCTATTACAGAAATGTGTATGGAACAACAGAAAACGATCAACTAAGGTGAAGATGCAAATCTACAACATATGCGCTGTCATCCCTGCTTTATGACTCAGAAATGTTGACTACGTATATTAGGCATATCAAGCGATTGAACAGCTTCCCCATGAGATGCCTGTGTAAGATCCTGAAAATAAAGTGGGAAGACAAAATGTGAAACAGAGGTGCAAGTAGGACTGACACTCTTAGAAACCACTGCCAAGAAGAGGAGGTTGCGATGGCTTGGCCATGTCAGCAGAATGAGAGGAGACCATATCCCCAAGAATATTTTGTACAGTGACATTTGAGATGGCTGTAGAAAGTTAGATTGCCCTTCATGGCAGTACTGACATGTATAAAAAATGACATGAAGGCATTCAACATCAATGTAGAAAGCTGGGAGAAGTACACAGAATCCTGTCTGATCTGGAGGGAGCATCTGACACCAGGTGCAGCACAACATAAAGCTGCTTTGATCCAGAGGATGGAAGCCAAGTGAGAGAGAAGAATAGCAGCATGCTGTAAACTTGGACTCCAGCTCAAACACACGGATCTGTGAAACTTGTAACAAGCTGTGTTGCTCTCGAATTGGGCTCGTCAGCCACAAGCAGATTCATCGGGCACGTGACTAGACCTCTTACATGTACACCATTATCCAGAGGATCAGTGGTTGCCTATCTGATGTACCATCTTAGCTTAAGATGGACTCTTAAAATCTTTTTTTCCTGATCTTTCTGGTGTAAGGGCCAGAAAGCACTATGTTGCTGTTTGGTAAAAATATATAAATCGACAATCAAGATGAGCACTGTTTACAAGAGAGAAGTCTTTGTCTTGATATTCTGAAAGATATGGTAGGTAGGATGAGAAGAAGCTGAGAGAGAGGTGGTGGAAGGGGGAGGGCTAACAGGGCTTAGCGCCCCCACAAACATGGGGCAGAGGTAGGGCCACAAGGCAGCCCGTCTAAGGGGTTCCAGTGGCTGCAGCAGGAGCAGAAAGGGACTGGGGCTGGGGCTAGGAGAAGGGCAGATGCTGCCCAGCTGGGACTGAGCTGGGAGCGGCTCATCTTGGGGGTGCAGCTCCTGCTGCTACACCCCGGGAGGCATGGGGCGCATGTGCCCCGGGATGTATGCAGGGCAGGGCAGGCTGCCACTGTGGGGCGGGGCTGGGGCCGGGGTTGTGCTTCTTGGGGACCGGGGTTGCACGTCCCAGGGACGACTCTGAGCCC